GCCTGTATGTCCATGCCATTCTTGTGAATGCAATATGTCAGGAACACTTTGAGGGAATTTCTTCAAATTGGGCACAAATGCCCAATTTGAGTCCAGGGTGAATTGATTCAATTTTGGTGGTCAAAGGTCAAAGCTGAGTTACTTCACTTCTGTCTCATACCTGTGAATTTGGCAGAGGCATACAACCGCAAATTGGTAATTCTAGTTCTTACTCCTTTTTTGTCTCTGTACATTATGGCAGCATAGTTTAAAGATATAACCTGGGGTTTCTGGAAACTAATGAGCCTTTTTCACTTTTTTTTGACATTTTATAATTCAAGGACCAATCAATTAAGAGTAAATTTTGTGAATAAATAAATCAAATCTCAAAATAAGTATTAGAATCAGCCCTACCTCCGTTAAGTATAAACATTCATAAACCCTTTCCTGTTGTCTTTTTATGGCCTCACTCCTTCTTTGTCTCTGTATCAGATCCTCACAAATATATACAGATTTACCTCTTCATACTTTTGTGGTCACTGTCCTCTGGCTTCATTCATTGTCTTTATGGTATGAACTGGCTTCAAAGAGTCCCCATTGATGAAGCCATCTGCCCCCATCTCCCGCGCCCTGGCCTCCATCCATTATGTCCACACTACTTTGTTTGAGTACCAGGTTCCAATAGCCAGCAACACCACATTGCAAACACTTTTTTTTTTGTTTGTTTGTTTATTTTGTTTTGTTTCAATTATTGGCCGTTCAGATTCAACTCACAGCACCACGGCTCAGTGAGTACAAATAAGCTGACCTCAGGCCCTGGGATGGTTCACTTTATATAGGTCAATTGGAGTTTGTGATCTGTTTTGGATGCTCCCATGACAGTTAGCCTGCAGTGCTGGTGTCTTTAGCAGATGGTGCTTTCTTTGAACATGATTTAACCTTTTTCCCACTTTGCCATACAGGGTGCAGTCTCAGAAGGGGCATCATCTCAGAGTTTCCCCTTGAACTACACCCTGTCTATGGCACATACAGTTATTTACACTCACTTGTCATAACAGTGAATTTAAGCACAGCATTCTCACACACTTTATGTAGTTTAGCAGCAAGGAACACAGACTAATTCCATTTTATAACTGTGTTTCCTATTCGATTCAGATGTCCTTTTCTGTTTTTGAAATTCAATATCAAAGTGGCCACTGCAGCTTCTTTCCTATGATTATCCAGTTTTTACGAGGGCCAGTATTTTCTAATGTAGACCCATGCAGTCTGTGCACTCACAGTTTGTGATTTGGACCCCCTGTTGCTTCTTCTGATCACTTGATTGTCATGCTCAGCCACACTTGGCTGCACCACTAAGCAACACAGACCACCATCACTGCCTATAAGAAAAGATAGCAAGCAATTT